TATATATATAATATATATATATATATATATATATATATATATATATATATATATATATATATATAATATATATATATATATATAATCAGATCTAAAACATATAAGAAAAGCCTCCTAAAGGAAATAAATGGGGGCAATATTTATTTTTGGCCCAAGGCGCAAAATTCCTAACTACACACACACACACACATATATATATATATATATATATATATATATATATATATATATATATTAAATTATTACATATATATTTATATATAATAACAGTATATATATTATATACATATTACAATAACGTTATATAAATATTACAATAATATATATTATATATTACAATATTTATATAAACTAAAACTAAGAATAGAAAATAAGATACTACACAGCTGGAGCAAAACTATGTACAAAAAAATTATATATACATATATATATATATATATATATATATATATATATATATATATATATATATATATATATATATATATATATATATATATATATATATATATATATATATATATACATATATATAACCATCATTGTCATATATGTAACCATCATTGTCAAACTTACCCAGTATTGCAGGGTGGCATTTTTATGCAAGGTTTTTTTTTATTGAATTGCACGTAGACTTCTTTTGACATGCAATGAGTTTAGTTTAAGACCATTTGTGTGACTAAGTGGCGCTGAATGTGAGTTTTTAGACACATGTTCATGTCTTGCCGATTTGTTTAAAACTACTTCTAATTTCTTTAACAGTGGACAAACACAATGCACTGCAGTGTATTGGATACCGATGAATAATAAAGGTGACAGATAAGGGGCTCCAAATTATAGCCGAATTTCAGTTTTTTGTCACTAAGTCGATTCGCTTGCTTAATGCAATAAGATGTTTATGACAGATAAGGGGCTCCAAATTATAGCCGAATTACAGTTTTTTGTCACTAAGTCGATTCGCTTGCTTAATGCAATAAGATGTTGATCTTTTATAAAGCAAGATGTTGATCTTATATAACTACTAATAATTTGACTAATTTTTCCAGTTTAACAAATACATTAATTTGATTTAAATTAGTTTAAATTCTTATGACGTTTTTATTCTTGGAGATAAAAAACAATTAATTGTGTCAACAATGTCAGTGTTTATTGTTTAGGGATCGTCCATAAATTACGTAACGCAGACTTTCCGAAAGTTTTTTTCTCGCAGTCTTAATTTAAATAAAATTCAAAAACGCCCAATCAAGTTCAATGAAAATCGCCGCCTAAAAGAGCTTAATAGCTCCTACTTCTGGTTTTTAAACATATTTTGCGTTGCGTAATTTATGGACGATCCCTTACATGATATCCTTACTAAAGTTCTTAGTTTTGTTGAAAGCAGTGGTGAGCCTGTCTGCAACTAAATCTAACTTAGACTAACTAGACTTGTAACTTGGCAACTATATCTAATTTAGACTAACCATGCCTGTCCACAACTAAATCTCGAATATGCCGGCTTCTGTTATAGATGTATCATCTGCAAATTGTGTTTTAGATTGCCGACTCCTATTCCGACGTTAAGCATCTTTTACTTCCGTTAACTCAAATATAAAGGCAGTAGGATTAATAGGGATAGCTGAGAAACTGACTTTATTAGGGAGAAGAGGCTAATGACTGTACATACTGACTGTACATACGCTTACTGCGCTTATGCACACTAAGGGTTAAGACAAGTAAAAAGGCAAATAAAAGAACATTTTTGCGGATGTAAAGGACACTGTCAGATAAGGAGCTTTTAAGTAGAAAGTTGTTTTTTTATTGCAAACATGGAGCAAGCATCATACCTTAAATGATTCCAAAGAGCTTTTACCATTGTGCCACAAATGCCCCTGCGGCTGCGCTTTATTTTTTCATTTAGATTTATAATTGACCTAAAAGTATTTAAATATTTTGTTACTTATTAAAAGGTTGAGCAAATAAAGACAAATATTAGTTTTACAAGACTTACGAAAAAAACGTTTTTTTTGTTTTTTAAAAATGAGATTTCACATTTTTGTGAGAATAAAATAGCTTATTGTAATTTGCTAAAAAAATAAACTTTAAGATTTTTGATGCTAAATATAAGTCACTTAATTGAAGTATAAACAATAATGGTCTTAAATTTGAACCTTAAGATACCCCACAACTTATTCGGTATTTTTTGATTTTTTAAGTATTGATTGCTTCCTGTTACTCACGTACCCTTTTATTCACTCTAAAGTTTAGCTTTAAACTTCGTTGTGTTAATGAAATTATGTTATTGGTTACTATGTCAAAATCTTATGACAAATCGATAAAAATCTCTAGATTGAGTCAATCGCACTTAAATACATTTTTATATGCATTTAATAGTAATACAATGTGGTAAGGTAATATAAATGGTGAGAAAACCCATTGATAGCCAGACGATTAACTAGTGTTTTATTTGTTTGTTGATATTCAGCAATTTAACATATTTTATTTCAGCAAATAGCATGCAATTCATTTCTACCAGATCATTAAGGATTACTATTTACGAGTAATTTGTAAGTAGGTAAAGATCAACACTTTGAGTAAAGTGTTTTTATTGGTAAAGAATAAATATGGATAGAAAAAATAAATAGCAAAGAAGAGTAAAGTAATGCATAATAATATTGCAGTTAATACAGATTTTTATACAAATAGTTTGTTAAGTTAAGCGATGGAGCAGTTTACACAATTGAATGACAAACTAAAAAAAAAAAAAAAAAAAAAAAATTGCAAAATTTTACAATAACTTTGCACTACAGCTGCTAGAAACTATTTATAATTTAATTAATTAGGCTGAATTCAGCTATTCCATGCATACAATATAAAGTACATTCCCTATTAAGTAATTGATGTCGCTTTTTATACAGTGCTGTGTGTAAAGCTAAAAATCTAGTGTAAAATGCAAATATATTAAGCATGTCTTTTTTATAAGTGTTTTATATGTAGCATTAACAAAAAAAAACAAACATTTAAAAGATTTTTTCAGAAATTTGCATTACACTTTTCCTATAACTGCACAAAAGTATTTGATCTTTAAACCCACATCAAGATGTATGATAACATAGAGCACATTAAACAACTTTTTCATCTTGAAATTTTTATCTAAAAAAAATTTTAGGATTTTAATAAATATCTTTTGACAGAAGGGATTCTTTTTGCTGTAGGCGATGTTTGTATTCTGTTTTGATCTACAACAATATTTTGGTTTGCTTAATTGCTAGAAGAGATACCACTAAAGAAATTTGGATTTTTCTTCAATTCTTTTATTTTCTTAAAGAAAAATAATAAACACTATAAGTATGTTTAATAATTTATTTTATTTTATGTTTAAATACAGTTACACTGTTTTTAAGTCATTTCACTGCAGCAGTTTTTTAATTATCACTATATATATCAAAATACCTTTCTAACGGAGTATAACATTTCAAACTAAAGTTTAGCCATTATAACTATAACCTTATTTATATCTTAGCCATAACAACTGCAACTTAGTTAAAGTTTAGCCATAACAAATGTAACTTAATAAAAAATTTAGTCATAACAACTGTAACCAAATTACAACATAGCAATAACAACTGTAACCAAATTACAACTTAGCAATAACAACTATAACCAAGTTACAACTTAGCAGTAACAACTGTAACCAAGTTACAACTTACCAATAATAACTATAACTTAATTAAAATATATCAATAACAACTGTAACCAAGTTAGAACTTAGCAAAAATAACTGTAACCAAGTTACAACTTAGCAATAACAACTGTAACCTAATCAAAACTTAGCAATAACAACTGTAACCAAGTTACAACTTAGCAGTAATAACATTAACCTAATTAAAACTTAGCAATAACAACTACAATCATTATTAATACTTAAAAATAACAGTTATAAACTAATTTAAACTCAGCAATAACTACTCTAATACAATCATTAAACATGCATAACCATGAAAAAAAAATAAAAAAATAAGCATAGCTTAAAAAATATTTAGCTATAAAGTCTATAAATCCAGTAATAAATCTCAATAGATTATAGCTATGTTATCTTCAAGAGTGAAGAACCGAATATTTTTGGTCTTTAATATTTATCATCTCATAAATACTTAGTATCAAAAGCTATATTCTTTAGCGATTAGGATGGCTGCAGAGAGTAATCCAAAAAAGATGTGTCTGGGTATAATGCGATTAAAATTAACCTAAATTAATCTAAAAAACCGCAATACAATCAAAGTTAAGTTTTATTATTTATTTGAACAACTGTAATATAATCATATAAAAATAGTTTAAAGTTTCTTTTATTGGAGTCACTACCTTTTTTAATTTCTCAAAATAATAATAAAAAATCTAGAATTCTTGTCATAGTTCATTATATGGTTCATGCTAAATAAATTATAAATTTTATAATCCTTATAAAAATCAAATATTGTAACTGTTTTAATCTATAATATTAACTCATTAATGATTTAAAAAGTGAATAATAGTTTTTACTAACTATGAACGTTTTGAATATGTGTGTACCTAATTTTATAAAAGTATGTAAGTACCTTATTTAGCCAGTCATTATTCCAACTTTGTACTTTGAACTCAGACAAACAATCAACGGCTGAATCTAAAGGAAATATTTTTTTTCCTGCCATTTGACTGTTTTCTAATAAGTTTACAATAAACAATTATATTTCTTTAAAATAAACTCACAAACAATAAGAGTTTGTACAATACATACAGTTTAAAATACATGTTAAAAAATGCTACATACATAAATACATGTTATAAAATACAATCACACATACATACACACATACATGTTAAAAAATCTTTTTAATTTTAAATCTATAAATGATGTAAGTTTAAAAAAAAAAAAGTAATGATGATTTGATAAATAAAGATCAAAACAACTGAGAACTATAGATATTTTCTTTTTTAAAACACTTTTAAGCAATAAACATCTTACCTTTATTACTTTTTATTAAACTTAATCTGTTATTATTTATTACTAATTTAATACTTTTGTTTATTTATTATATAAATTTTTTACAGATATGGTTTTTGTAAAAATACAAGTGAATTAAGAAAAAAAGTAACTAAAAAATATGACATTTAAGATGTATGCAATTAACATTATTATCATGTTTTTGGTTATAACAATTATTTTATTATTTTATTTATTTATGATTTGAAACAGTTGTGTCAAAAAAGCGGCATTCAAAAAAAAAAAAAAATCAAAAATCAAAAATAATCATGTTTCTCCTTCTTTCACAGGAACCAGTGCCAATCTGTTACGCTTCTCTACCAAAATCAGACAATTGAATTAAATCTAATGTTCTTTGTTTTTATAAGTTGAGTTTATTCATAGGCATTTTGCTTTGTCACAAAATCTAATTTGAAAAAACTCAACTTTTTAAAACTCATTTAATTTTTGCTTCGTTTAACTTCTATTTTAATCAATAGCATTAAAAATTTTGTCAGCAAGATAACCACAGCAACAATTGTTGCTGTGGTTACCATACTGGTAAAAAATTTTTTCTAGACTAACATGCACACTGCATTGAGATTTTAAGCTAGATCTAAGTTTTGCAATTTAAGCTATATTACTGTTTTATAAAATACAAAACAATATAAGAGATATAAAAAATGAGTCAAAAGCTATGCTGACCCCTTAACTCAAAAAGTAGTAATAAAACTCCCTGACATACAATAATTAGCATTCTTAAACACATAATTTATTTAACATTTATTTAAATTTTCCACCCTCTTTATATTATGTATTTTCAAGTTAAACAGTATCTTTTAATTAAGCAAACGCCAAATTTAATATATATGTACAATTTAAATAATATATGTTTATCATTAACTTCTGTAAAGCAAATATATATCAATAAGTAATAAAAGGTAAAAAAAAACAAAACAAAAAAAAACATGTGTGAGAGTGTGTGTTTTGTAAAATAAAAGCACCTACTGCATTCAATGTTACCTTTTTCACTTTCAGTGAGAACTTTATATTCTTCCTTTTCAGTAAAAGTTTTATACTTTTCATTTTCTACGGGCAACTTATATTTCTTATCTTCAACGGGCATTTTAAATTTTATATCTTTGGTTAAATTCTCAAATTCTTCACTTGAACTTTTTCTTTCTTTTTTTGGACTTTTTTCCTGATCTTGTTTTTTCTGAATGATTGATTTCGACCGAGTTAGATATTTGGTCTCTGTTTTTGTTTTCTTAATTTCATGTTCCTGTTGGTGAAATAATAAAATCAATATTAAAATTGAGCCGTAGATAATTTTATAATTTTAGGTGAGGTAAATAAAATCTTATTAAAAAGAGCTAGTGTATAATAAATAAACTCAACTATCCTTTACCAAATGGAGCAAGCATACATTAGCCCAATTTTTAATCAACATTTTAAATCTTTCATTTCCATAAACGTGTGAAAAATGTAAGCAAAATTAAATGAAACATTTTTTTAAAAGTTGTTACATCCAAATTATATGCAATAACTACAAATGTAAGAAAAAACATCTTGCAAGTATAAAAATAATAATTACACTATTAACATCTTGTGTTTTGAGTCCACTCTTGATAAAGCTGTTATAATATGTATTATTTATTTTTACAGTCTTGATAACATATTTTTTAAATTAAAGTTTAAAATTACTTTAAATATGTTTAACTTTATCATATTCATATCCATGGAAAACTTAAACTGCGTGCATTTTGAAACTATTTCTTTGTAGTTAATACTCTATGATCCCTAACCCCTGAAAAATTAAATATATATTTAAGATTTTATACTTTTTAATTATATTTTTATAAAGTTGTAATCTTTATAAAATTATTACTTAACGGGTGGCAAATGGGGCAAAGTTTAGCAGGCAAAAAATATTTCGTATCAAATTATTTATGTTAACGTCACCAATATATTTTGTAGCAAATTCACGCTTATCATTTATCTGTATTTGCTTTAAAATATCATTTTCAAAAATGAAACCAAAATGCATAAGCGAATTTAAGACACGAAGAAAACATATATTTTGGCCTAACCGAGCATTGGTACATTACGAAAAATTTGTCATTTCCTACCTAGAGGTCAAAGAGATGAATTTTGTCCAAAAAGAAGACGATCATATGTCCTAGAATTACGTCCAATCAAAAATTTCTGGAGCATTCTTAAAGGCAAGGTGTATGCAAAGATTTGGCAGGTAAAAAGTTTAGATCATCTTGCAAAAAGATTGAAAAACTCCTCAAAGAATTTGACATTAACAACGTCTTGCGCAACAAGTTCCAGCTCTTGTTGATTCTGTTCGACAACATGGTGACAACGATATAATTGAAGATCAATAAGACTTTTTATAATAAAGAATGTAATGTGATTATAATAAAGAATGTGAATAATATTAGTTTTTTAAAAAATACTGAAAAATAAGGGAGTAACATCTCTTTAAACTTTAAATTGGCCCATTTTCAACTTGCCACCCGTTTAAAAATCACTGGATCAATAAAAAACACACTAAGTATTCACAAATTTCCAAAAAACAATTTAGTTTTTTTAACAATTAAAAGACTAATATAAAGAATATTTTCTGCAGCCTATTGAGCAGCAAAATCTATTATCAACGTTTTAAGACTCAAAGACTTAATATTAGTAAAATGTTTGTTATTTACGATTTTTTAAATTTCTTTTCAAAGCATTTTTTGCCATAATAAAGTTGCTACTAAAATAAAAATTTCGTTGAGCAAGTTTTCGTCAGTACAACTTAATTAGAGCAATTTTTCGATTTTTTGAATTAACTTTTTTTTAAGTTGTAAATTTATTATTACTTCAAAACACCAAACGATCTAGGTTTTAGATTAGAACTTAATTAAGGCCGTTATTTCGTAAAGGACACAAGTTAACAGATAATTTAAAAATATAATTTAAAAATTTCTGTAAGATTTATGATATACAAACTTATTAAATTAATAAAATTCACAACAATTACATATAATTTCTTAACCATTTAGAGCCCCGTGTAGCAGATCTGCTACAAACTTTTTATTAGCCTGGGATTTGAGTATGGCTTTTCTATTCATGTCAAAAATGCCCATTGTGGCATATTTGCGACTTGCTTACGTTACGTAATTAATTTGAATATTATTAGTTTGTATTATCAAAGCAAACACCAACACTCTAATCTTACTTTTAAAAAATTGTGATATTGTCTGTAATGTGGCTCCAAATTACTTGTTAACTTGTGTCCTTTACGAAATAACGGCCTTAATTAAGTTCTAATCTAAAACCTAGATCGTTTGGTGTTTTGAAGTAATAATAAATATACAACTTAAAAAAAAGTTAATTCAAAAAATCGAAAAATCTTTTATATAATTGTATGAGAGTTAAGATATAAAATAAATGTTTCCTTTAATATAAAAAAGGTTAAAAAAGGTTTTGGAAGTGTTTATTTTAGTTTTTATAGTTTTAAATGAATAAAATATCTTGCTTATGTTGTATGTAGCAGATATGCTACAATGGGTTATTTTATGCATAATAACTTTTTTTTTAACTTATAATTATTTTTAGATGTATAAAAACAAAGATTATAATAAAGAAGAGGCTCTTGCTTATATTCTTGATGGGGACATTGACTTTAAAGACTTAAATGAGTCAGATACGGATTATGAGCCTGAAAATATCAAAAAGGCAGTAGATAATGTTGATTTTTGTGATGTAGGACCTGTACAGCAACATAATGTTAATTGTGAAGAAGAGAACATAATTCATGGTAATAGTGAGAGTAGTGATGATGGTGACCAATTTTTGTCTAATATGGTAAATAAGAACAAACCAGTAAAATAACTTTGGAAAAATGTTGACTTACATGTCGATGATACAGAATTTCGGGAGGTATTACCACAACCCACACCTAATGACAGGACTACTCCTTACCAGTACTTCAAAATGTTTGTCACAGATGAGCTTCTTAAAGCAGTCACAGAGCAAAGCAATTTATACAGCACTCAATGTACTGGTTCAAGTATTAATGTAACACCAAAAGAGCTTGAAAAATTTATTGGTATCTATTTAAGGATGGGGTTTGTTAAAATGCCGTCTATTAGATCCTATTGGGAAACATATATGAGCTACCATGGAGTGAGCTCTGTTTTATCACGAAATCGTTTCTGGACTATCTTGCATAATTTGCATTTTGTTGATAATATAAACATAACGCAGGAAACTAAGGATGGTGATCGTATTTGAAAGTTGGGCCCTTGGATAACAGGACTGAGAGAAAATTTTTTGAAGGTATCATTAGAAGAATTTCATAGTGTGGATAAAATCATGATTGCTTTTAAAGGAAGGTCTTTAATAAAACAATATCTACCAAAAAAACCAATCAAATGTTATGACAATAAAGCTGTCACAATGGTATCATCATATGTTGGAATCGAACCAGTTCAAACTGTTAAACGATACGACCGAAAGAATAAAAAGTATATATATATATGTTCATCAACCCTTTATTATTAAAACAAACAACAAGTATATGGGTGGAATTGATAAGCTTGATATGATGTGCTCGTTTTACAAAGCTAACCTTAAGTGTCATCATTGGTATATATACATTTTGGCGCATACAATAGTGATTGCACTTGTAAATGCATGGTTTCTATACCGTAGAGATTTGAAATTAATAAACCCAAAAGCGAAGCATATGCCCCTAGAAAAGTTTCAAGCAGAGGTAGCAACAAGTTTAATAAAGGCAGAGAAATGTAAGGTTGGCAGACCATCTCTTGAAACTATGATATCACTAAAGGCTTAAAGATCTGTAGTCCAAGGCAACCCAGCGCAAGATGTAAAACAGGATGGAGTAAACCATCTACCAGCATACACTAAGAAAAGACAGCGATGTAAAAAATGCCCTGCTGGGTTTTCATACATTCAATGCCAAAAATGTAACGTATGGCTTTGTATGCAAAGAGAACGAAACTGTTTCAAGGATTTTCATGTATAAGTACTGGCACTACCAATTAAGAAATAAAAACATTTCAAAACTTCTTTTACCCTTAAAAGCCCGTTGTAGCAGATGCGATACAATTTAAAAAAGTTCATTGTCAAACAAAATTTTTTTTTTAATTTTTGTTTTTGTATTTTGCAACCCAAAACATATATTTACACAGTTAATAATAATTTTTTTTTAAAGTTAAGCTTGAGTGGGCTCTAAAGGGTTAATTATCTATTCCTATGTGTAGTTTCTTTACACTAAAGATATTTTTCGATATAATGATTTTTTTTTAGGCTTGTGTACTTGTTAAACAAAAAGTTAATTGTTAGTTAATTTTTTGTTAAGGAGTATGTCGGTTTAATAACCAAATGGCCTTAAAAATCACAGAGAACAATGACTTTAGTAGGGTAGACCAGGGAACGTTGGCCCACCTTTTTTCTTTGATGTATAACTTTATTGCTTTTTAAGTTACAACTTATTTTTTTGAAACAGGTTGAAAAGACCCTAGATTAGCCATAAGTAACATTATTAAAAGTTCATAATTAGTTTTTAATACATTTTAAATTGATTTTGTTAAGTTGTGGGCTAACGTGAACTCGGGGTAAGTTGGCCCAGGGGTATAAAACAGGGGTAAATTTAATTTTTACCAGTTTCTTATAATTCCATTATTTTAAATTTTATTGTTTTTAATTTAAAAAAGTAATTCATACTTTAAATTTGAAATGTGTCGGACCTTAGTTAAAACCCTCTAACTATTGAATGTAAAACTTTAATTTATTAAATTCTTTTTACTTACCCAAAGTTGTTTTTTTATTTTTAAACCATTTCAAAATAAAAAATGTTATTATCGGAAATGAAAACAAGTTGATTTGCAACAAAAAAAAAAAAAAAAAAAAGAATTTTGTCGAGAGTAGTTTTTAAACCATTAACCAATATTATTTAACAATATATACTAAAATAATTTACTTTGATGTAACAAAAACTGTTAAAACGGCCCCACTTTTCTAACTATGGTTCAATAAATATGATTTTTTTTCGGAAAGAGGGTTAAATGACTACCACCCATTACCTATGTTACCAGCAGAGGTGGAAAAAGTAAAAAAAAATTGTACTTAAGTAAAAGTACTGTTACTTGAGTGAAATTTTACTCAAGTACAAGTAAAAGTTACCTGTCGATAAGTTTACTTAAGTAAAAGTAAAAAGTAGCTTATTAAAAATGTACTCAGAGTAAAAGTTACTGCGTTACTTTTTCAGTAACAAAGCAAAAAAATTCTGTGCAAAAAAATTTTTTTTGCACAGAAAGTTTTTTTTATAGTCGTAAAAAGTAAAAAAGAAACCAAGCTAAAGCAGTTAAAACTCGTTATGAGCGCTCTCAACATTTTTTTCTAAACAATTTAAAAGTGTCATTTTTATTAAAGTGAACAAAACTCAAGAAAACAAAAAAATTAAATCATAGTATTTGTGAAATTAATAGGTTTTTTTTAACATAATAGTTTTTTTTAAATTAGATATTCAAAAACTCCTATTTAGCAATGCCAAACAGCAGAATCATAAAAAAATGTTATTTCGTGAGTAAGATATGTCTTTATTGAAAAAATAGAAGTTTTAAATGCTGTAAAAAGTTTTTAGAACGGTAATATTTCGCTCTAATTTGCAATAAAGAATAAAAAAATAATTTTTGTTTTAATTCGTAAGATTTCAATTTAATTTCTTGGCTAACGACCTTGGCTATACGCCCCAAAAAAAGACAAAAAAAAAAAGAACGGTGAAAGTTTCAATCGGCTGGAGCTATCCCGTGAGATTTAGTGTGCCCATCAACCAAACTAGTTACTAAATATACTAAAGTAAATTTTTTACTTCCCGCAGTAACACACTAAATTACAAGGTCAACCTTGAGCCTAACTAATAACTAATAAATTGACAAACTATTGGTCAATGTATGCTAGCTAGAAACGGTTCTGTAAAATTAATTGTAATAATAAAAAAGAGAAATATGTTTTGAGATTTTTTTATTATTAATTTAAGAATATTAAGAACTACTCTTTAATACTTAATCATTTATAATAATAATGTAGTAAATAATTACAAAAAAAAGTGATACGTTTTTTTTTTTATCAGTAATATTTATAGGTATTTTTTTTTTAAAATTTGTTAACAAAGTTATATTTACGAACTAATATAATACTAAATATTTAAATTACCTTCTCAATAGCAGTCTTTTTAAAGTTTTTTCTGTAAACTAATTTAAAATAAAAACATGTTAAGAGTTAAAAAAGTTTATTAAATTAAACACATTAATAAATATTTATTAGACAATCACCATTTGTCCTACTCTTTGTGTTTTTAGAAAATTTAAATATTCGCGTCGCATTTGTCCCTTTAAGTTCTCCTTTTCCTCTGAGCATTTTAATATCTGATACAGAGTTAGCCGCACATCTAAAGTTAGCTTTCCAAGTTTTGTAGTTTGGTTTGTCAATCCCTAAATGCCAAAATAAAGTTATTAAACTATTTTCTGAACTTTGTTATAGATTCACACTGAGTACAATAGTTGTTGCTTATGTTTTACTGATGGCGTACTTTATAACCTAAGTTTAAAAGTCCATTTTCTTTTTTCAGTTAAAATTTAGATATCTAATATATATATATATATATATTTATATATATATATATATATATATATATATATATATATATATATATATATATATATATATATATATATATATATATATATATATATATATATATATATATATATATATATATATATATATATATATATATATATATATATATATATATATATATATATAATATGTAAATTTATGCAATTGTAAATTTTTACTGAAAAAAAGAGACTGTACTTTTAAACGTAAAATATATTTATATATTTTATTGCAGTTAATTGTAAAAGTAAAAAAAACAAATAAGATAACCTTCTCGAAATTTTCCAGTGTGAATGGCCCACTGCTTAAATAACGAAGCGTCCTCACTATTCCAATCTTGCCCTGAAGCGTGTTTCCATGACATCTGAAAAATACCTTCGCTTTGATTTATCCAGTGTAAACCTTAATTTTTAAAATTATAAGTTCAAATTAAACACTTGCTAGAAACTAAAAAAATATATATTTATGTACAAGGGTTAAAGTACGCCAGAATGCACCAGAACGGCGTTTTGCCAACAATCCAGAATCGCTTCCATTTGTTTAATTCTCAACCGTACCGCCATCATGTTTTTTTAAAATATTTTAAAACATTTTTTTAAATTTTGGTTTTTTTAAAAGATTAAAGGTAAGTTAAGCTTTTAGCCAACTTATCTGAACTTGCGATCCTAGTCTTGTCTGCCTCATTACCTGAAAAACTAATTCAATATTTATTTTAAAGATAATATTTAGTTTTATAATATCAAATTATTAAGATTTGTTTTACTTTCATTTCTCTTTATTTATAAATATACAAATACGACGAGATCCAGCAACTAAACATTTACAGCGAAACAGTTTTTTGCATTGCATAGTAGCAACGTTTATTACTAGAAAATGTTTTTTTACAAAAAACAAGATACATCAAATTAAAAGAATAAAAAAGTCACAGTATTAATCTTATTTTGGGACTTTGTATGTGTTCTTCGAAGTTTTTGGATAGCCTCTTTTTTTTGCAACACTTAGGAGACTAGAGACTAGGGGGTTATTTTTTAATACAACATTTTAATTATGGCTTTCTCAGATAAGCTGATGAGATTAGGTTCCATTAAGAAACATAAAATATTCAATTTTATCCATGAGTTTTTGATGGGGTTTAAATTAGGTGAGTTACCGCCCACAGGGCAAAAACATTAACAGCCTTTTCTTGGAGCCATGTCTTAACATTTTTTGGTTGATGACAAGATGCACAGTCAAGCAAAAAAATAATAAACGTTTTTATTATAAACCAATTAGATAAATTATTCTTCAAATTTTTGAAATAAATTGTGGAATCGACAGTTTTATCCTGTTATAAAACGTGAAAATCAGATCAAGTGTTAACAGAGATTGCATCTTAAATCATAATTGTAGGAATTTTGCTTAAAAGAAAATATTGGTAAAACAAAGTATTGGTAGTTGAAGTATGAGTTTTGTGAAGTTATATTGTAGAGATATACTAAGAAAATAATGATGAAATTACACATGGTTTTAAGGTATATAGAGCATATAAGATCATTGAGAACCACGCAATCACCCAAGCAACACGCGATTATTTAGTGTTTTGCAAGCACGCTTATTTTGTAATTATAAGTAACTATCTGTATATATATATATATATATATATATATATATATATATATATATATATATATATATATACATATATATATATATATATATACATATATATATATATATATATATATATATATATATATATATATATAATATATATATATATATATATATATATATATATATGTATATATACATATATATACATATATATATATATATATATATATATATATATATATATATATATATATATATATATATTGTTGCAAGTTTTTTTGTACCAAATAGAGATACAATGCCTCTTGTACGTTTTTTTTAGAGTGATCGATATAATGTAAATTAATTATTTACAAAATAGATCATCAATTTTATATTTATATATATATATATATATATATATATATATATATATATATATATATATATATATATATATATATATATCTAAAAGAAAGGACTTATATATATATATTCATATCCATTATATATTAAAAGTAAATTTGTATGTAGATTTAAAAAAAAATTTATTATAAATGTGTAACATCAAATTTTCATACCAGTTTTTATGTATATATTTGAAACAAGTGTTCTGAGTTACAACACTATTTTATGATATCGGTAACATTAAAACTAATATCGGTAACATTAAAACTGTAGCGTTGTTGATTTTAAAATGTCGATTTCTTAAATTTTGTAAAAAAATATTTTAATTAAACATCACACAGTTTACAATGATAAACTAAAATAAAAAATAACCTTTGTACATTCCACTGTTAACTTGAACTTCAAGCCATGCTCGCAATCCAAGTCTTGTCGGCCCCATTATCTGAAAAATTAAATTCATTTTCAAGACAATATTTAGTTTTATGGTATCAAGTTATCAATATAATGAGTTTATACAAGCACGAACAAGGAACTCGGGACAAAAAAATTTTAAATTTTTATTAATACTTGAGCGAGGTGTGCGCAATTAGAACTGTTTTTGCATTAATGTTTTATTGCATTTATTGATTTTAATTTGTGTTATTATAGTTCAAAATAAAGATATTTTTTAAATTAACCTGAACATTTTAATTTACGTAACAAACTTTTTTTATTGTCAAAATATCTCACTTTAAAAATGGAAGATTAATTTAAAAAAAAAACAAGTAGGGATTAATTTAAAAAAAATATTAGTATTTTAACAAGTAGGTATTAATTGAAAAAAAACAAGAAAGTATAAAATGTATATATAGTACATTATTCCAATGTATAGCAACGCAGGTCGTGCAAAAATTACAATTAAATGCTAGTTTTATTGCAGTTTCAACAAACTTTACTAAAAATATATTTAAATAAAAAAATTATTCCGAGCTTTCTCATCTCGATTTGGAGTGGATTCCTCTGTTATAACAACTACACCATTTTTACGAAGTTATAACATTATTATTATTATTATTTTTACTATCATTATTATTATTATTACTATTATTACTATTATTATTAATTTAACTATTATAATTAGTAATAACAAATATTACCCCAAATCAAATAAATTTATTTTGATTTGTTTACCCTATACTGAATGTGTACTTAAAATCAACTGTTTAATGTTAAATAAAAGGGAAGGTTAAGTTTATTTTAGTTTTTTAGAATAGTTAAAAATAAACAATCCTTTTTTTTTTTAAGAAAACATAAAACTAAACGTTTCTTTTTTTAGAAAAACTAAAATTGAATTAAATCTTGTAGAAATAATTTATCTTATATTATTAATATTAACTTACTACTCTTTGTACAAATTATTTTATGGTTATGACATGTTTACTAGCGTTAATAAAGAAAAACTTCATGAATGAAGTTCTGAACTTTTTTTAAGGTCTTTAAATCTAAAAAAGAGTCAAATTCTTTTTTGCAATTTTAAAACAGTAATTTTCACATTAGTAGTATACAATCTGTTATAAGATGAAAAGCAAAACAACAATCTCGTAATCTTTTAGCTGTGGGAAAGTCATATTAAAAATTGATAGACCTCCATAACACTATATATTTATAAGCTTCTGATAAATCCGATCTTTTGTTAAGCTTATCTAAAATTGAATATATTAATAGGTTTATCATAACTCTAGTTTTAAGACAAAAACAGTTCAAAAAATTTCTAATATATACAGTTTTAGATGTTTGTTCATAAAATCATGACTGAAGATTAAATGTATAAAATCCTGCTGACAAGGTTGTTCAATTTTTTTTGGAAAATTATAAAAGCCGTATATAACTATTATATGTTTTTGTGTTTTATTAAAGAAGTGGTTAACCTTGCTTAAAAAAGTTACAAGCCTAGTAGTAACTAACTCAGATACTTTAGTAAAATTAACGAAAAAAGTTTTTTTTTATATATTATTCGAATTACTAAAATTTTCTTAAACAAACGTATTTGCTCTAAATTGTTTCAAATAAAACAACTTAATGTCTGATAAAACATGTTTTGCATTTTTATCACATGCAGTGTTTTTATAAAAAATCATTAACATTGATTTCCGATTTTATATAAACGTATATTTTTCTTATCAAGGCGCCTTTGAGTACGTATACATTTATTCTTTATTGACAAGTTATTAAAATAGAAAATACTCTCTCAAAAATGTAAAAAATGTCATACTATATATTATAAAAAATTTAAAACAAAATCATTACTTTTTTTATATAAAAACAAACAGTTTTTTTTTAAACTAATTTAATACTTTTTGGAAATGAGGGTATCAACATAATTAAACTTAATAGGAACGTGATTTAACATACTAGTATATTAAGTTTAAACATATTGGCAAAAATCTGGAGGTACTTATTGATTGCAGAGAGGGGGCTGTGAAACTTGTAAAGGTGTATTTTCAAAATGTTTATCAAATGTAAACCTAAAGTGGAATTAATAAAACTACTTTTAACAAACATTTTACATAACTTATTTTTATTAAGAAGCTGATCAACAAATCCTACAAAAAAGAAAGTAAATAAAGAGCACTTTCCCTGTGGTCGATAAGTTCAAGAGTAGAAGAAAGAGACAAAAGAAAACTAATTTTCAATAAGTTTTTCTTTACATCTTAGTGCTTAAAATATTCTTTTGAATTCTGGTATGGAAGATAAAAACATCAAACATTGAAGAAAGATGACCTTATATGGTCACATTAAAAAAGGAATAACATTGAAACTTTTATGCATAAAATGCCCAAAATTTTTTTTAAAAATTAGTTTAGGAGAAGGGTTTTCGCATTTTGACTGTAAAAGAGCTCAAAAATGGCCTAAAAATGAACTTTGGGCAAAAAGGTTTTTTATAATTTTTTTCAATATATCTTATAAGTTTTGTAGTTAGTGGGTAGGTAGGAGTGAAGAAAGAATGAGTGGAGTGATTACAGCACTGTGGTCAGTGGGTCGGAGGCCCCTTCCTAAAAAACTGCCATAAACACTCTAAAATTCTTTCACTAGGTGTTACTAAAAAAAAAAAGGTCCTTAAATTTGCGAATAAGCCCTTAAATTTCAAAACGGGTACTCTAAATTGGCTGGGCTTCTAATTAGAGGGTGTGGGGGAGGGTGTTATGCACTCCTTTGAATGAATGTAAAAAATATTTTTAGACTGTGAAAATAGTAATGTTGCAGTAACTTACAGTACGTACACAGCATTTGTAATGTTAATTAAAAAAAAATATTTTGAAAGTGTTCTTCAATAGTCTTTTTTTGGAAATTGAATAGTCATTTTCTCAAGTAGAAGAGTAGGGGAAATTAAGGTACAGTGGATTGAGGGGGAAAATCAATAAGAGGCTTTTCCTCAAAGATTTGAATTTTGTTCATCTTTATAATGTAATCATTTTATGTCTTCATATATCAGCCATATTTCTTTATAGTTGTTACCACATAATTTTTGACTACCGGAAGGTAATTTTTGTTTTTAGCTAGCTAAAGTAAATTCTCATTCCTTATGTTTTTGTTATGGAGATCATAGTTAAAATAATTTTAAAAGTTTTTCATTCGAATTATTGATATTTATGCTTCCTTTTAGTAGTTAAGCTTTTTTTTTAACAACACTCATGTCCCAAGAAATTAGACTTAAACATAGTGTGTTATGGTGGGGCACAGTGAATCGGGGTACAGTGAATAAGTTGATACACTATGCCCCATTAATGATCTTAAAAATTAAATTCATGCATTTTTAACAAACAAAGTACATGAAAATGTATTCATTAGTTTTAAATTATAAATAATAATATTTAAATAATTTTTTAATTATTTATTATTTTTATAAGTTTTGTTATCAATAAAATTCTTTTTTTTTCTTCTCAATTTTCAAAATATCGATTTTTTCAATTTTATACTAACCTAGTTAATAAAAGTATGTCTCAAATATAGTGTAAAGTGTCAGCCTTATAATTATTTGGTTATGGCCTTATTCACTATCGTTAATATGTGGCTGTGTTTTTTGATTCACTGTGTCCCAGTACTGAGACACAGTGAATAACACAGTGAATAACTCACTTTAGACCATTCTGTGAGCCGTTAAATAATAAATATATGTGTTTTAGTGATTTGTTATCATGAAGGACATATATCTCAATCCTTTCGCCTTGAAAAAAAAAAAATTTCACATTTTAACTTTGGTCAATTCAAAAAATAAAGAAATCTGATCCACTGTGCCTCAACTTCCACTAATATTTCACACTGGATCTGGTTTCAGGATAACCTTTCCAGAGACGCTGGATCCTTTCGCTGACCCATCTCCCTTTGCGCTACTATTTAATACTATAAAAAAAGAAAGAGATTTTATCGAAGAAAAGAGAGTATATTTAATGATTTTTTTTTAAGAAAATAGACTATATTTTATATTATTTACGTTAGTTTAAAAGTTTCATTCAAAATATCTAATGGCATATCAATTTTATTCAAACATAATATATTCAAAATGACAAGTGATTTTTATAATAAGTTTGTAGTCACAATTATTTTAAGTCGAAAATAGTTTATTATATGTTAGGCATTATAAATATATAATACCAATGATTTTATGGTGGGTAGAGGGTACCAGTAAATATTTTTTTGTTTAAGTCTATTAACTTTTAATAGACATCACTATATATATATATATATATATATATATATATATATATATATATATATATATATATATATATATATATATATATATATATATATATATATATATATATATATATATATATATATATATATATATATATATATATATATATATATATATATATATATATATATATATATATATATATATTTATAAGTAAACTTATTGGTTTAGACTGTATATTCTTATAAAAGCAATAAAAATGCACGGAAAATTAGCTAAAAAAAAAAAAATTTGGGGTTTCTAAACCTCTCCTAATATTATTAAGTAGAATCAGTAATGTTTTCACATTTATTTTACTTTTTAAACACAAAACGCAAACAAGTTTAAATAATATATTCGTTTTCAATCAAAATTTAATTATGTTAAATTGTAATTATGTTCTCTCTTTGCATTGGCGTTGTTTTTAGTTAATTTTATGTTATTTTAACCACTACACTTGCTGAAGTTATGAATGTTGATATAAGGGTATACAATATCACTAAACTATTTTTATATGCAATAGTATCAATTTAAAGTTATGAAGCTTCGTCATTGCACAAATCTGATTTATCAGTGATGTGCCCATTAATATCAATTATTGCTTTAGTTTGATCTAAACGCAATAATTAATTGGAAAATCAAATATACATGTTGGTTTTTTTCATGGTTTCAAAATGCCCAAATGTATTGCATAATTAAAAAAAAAGTCATTATTGTGTATTATGTTCACTAAAAACATAAACAATATTAAAGAATTATTATAAAACTTTTTTGTTTATAAAACAACTTATATCTCAAAACTGCTCTTTTAATATGGGTAGGTAACTAATATTTTGAAAAACAGAGAGTTTTACAAAATATTAGTTTGAAATAAACGAAAAACGAATTGTGAAGTATTACATGACCGGGTTAAGTGTTTGGGGGGTCGAGACTGTTTCTTTTCATATTTCATACGAGAGCCCAAAACAAGTGAGCCATTGTTGTTGCAATTAAACCAACCATGCATATAACCCAATTTTTTTAATCAAATTGATTTGAAATTGTTGTCAGTGACTTTTTTATTATTTTTTCAGAACCCAGTCTCTTGACGCATCATGTTAAAGCTTTGAAATAAATCAAAAAGCTCATAATTTATAAAAAAGCAATATTTTATAGAAAAATTTAAAGATCATTTTATTAATATAATTCATCAAATTAACAAATACTCATCAAAGAAAAGAGTCAATATTTTAGTACGTTATGGTGCAGATATAAATCAAATTTGGACTTTATCCATAAACTTCGTAATAGAACTTAAAAGCGAACTAAAATTGGTTATATATATATATATATATATATATATATATATATATATATATATATATATATATATATATATATATATATATATATATATATATATATATATATATATATATATATATATATATATATATATATATATATATATATATACTGGTTATATATATATAGAAAACTTTTTAAATGAAAATAAATAAATATGTTTTATGGTTTTGTACAGTTGTTATGGACTCGTAGAAAAATTATATTGCAAATTATTTCATTTATTATTAAATTACTTGTATTCAGGAATAAAGAAAAAAAATCGTTTTTTTTAACATTCTATTTCAACAATAAATTGATTAATACTTGGTGAAAAAAATATCGTGAAAAAATTATTATTCGACAACATAAAAAAAAAAACTTTAAATATTAAATTATTATTTACCTTTGCGTTAATGTTTTTCTAATATATGAGCAAAGAACCAAATAAAAAAAAAAATAATAATAAAAAAAATAAATTAAATTGTTATATGCGCAAATGACCAACAATCAGTTTTAAATAAGTTAAAAATTCGGCACCCTACAACACCCACGTTCTGTTTAAAATGACTTTTAAATGAGATTTTACATATAACTCAATAGACAAGGATCTTATCCAATTTACTAACAGATTATAATATGATGGCTACGGTAAGTTGAAATAGTCAAAACATGCCAAATAATGCTTAGCTAAAAATACAACGATTTTAAAATTTTATAAAAACTACTTTTGTATTTTGTTTCAATACATGAACTTCGCGAGTATTAGTTGGGCTTGACTGAATTTAAAAAAATGCAATTAGAAAAACTGTTAAAAGAGAGAAATTTTAAATTTTTATTTTTATTGTTTTTTTATCAAATATCGGCATCTTTTATCTTGTCTCTCTCAAAAATAAGTCAAATCTGCTAGACAATAAATATTTGTAAATACATATGTTTACATAAGTCACGCGGACAATTTTTTTGGTCTATAGTTGTAAAGCTTCTATTTATATCGTATTTTAAAAATCATCTTTGCATTTATGTTGCTTATAGTTTGTATAAATAATAAAAGAAATGAAATATTGATACATAGAAAATAATGTAAAATAACAAATAAGTAAATATACTTTTTTACTTAAAATATAATATTTATTTTCGTAATACTATAACTTTCTAAATTTATAGAATCAAACAGAAAATTAATGTTTAAAAACCAAAGCATAAAAAACATAGTATGAGGTTAAAGATATTTGTATAAAAAAAAATCGTTTGCTGTTCAGTCTGATGGCGAGGTGGAGGGGAGGGGGGGGGGGAAAGGGGTGAGTAATAAATAAGACTTTATAAAAATTTATATATACAAATAGAATTAGAAAATACTTAGTTCTAGTTGTTACTAAGTACTAAAAAAAAAAAAAATGTATATTAAACAAGGTGTATTGATTACAACTTTTTTTATTTCAAATTGTTTTCAATTTAGTCATTATTTTATATTTACAATAAAAGTTTATATTATATGATTAAAAAAAAAGCTCGCCTCATATCTGTATATTATATACATGACGTAAAATACGAATAAAAAACGCTTATGTATTAATCTACATTCATGACACACTTTGAAAAATATGTAATAAAATTAGATATTTTTTTTAGTGATAAAAAATTTACCTCACTATTTGCACGAAAAATCGAGTAATAAAAATTAAGAACTTTAAAATCAGAAAGCGCCGGAAAATGCGTGTGTTGATATTTTAGTGTTTTATTGTATTTAGAGTAATGATGGTAATCGAAACCGAATGAAGGTTTCTTTTCTCCCTCAACAAGATTATCTTTTTAAAACATATCAAATGTACAGTGGAGTATTTAGTATTAATATTTAAAAATAAAACTTATAAAGCATTTATTTAATATAATAAAAAGAAAAGGAAGGTATATATAAGTATTTATTTATATTTGACGATATGTAGTAATATATTAGGAGTTAAGAAATTTTGTTTAAATTTATAGTGCTTCGTTATTTTTTTCTCCAGAATGATAAACGATGGAGGGACTAGAGATAAAAGTTTTATGAAAGAAGTTCTTAGAACGATTAAAACTTAGGGAGTGAATTCAAAGAATTTCTATTTTTACCCAATCAAGTTGTTTGTTTTACTTGAAAGAAATGACGCGAAAGTTTCGCCGTTTCAAGCTAAGTTTTAAATTTTATTGTGGAATCATGACTTCATCAACTTCATTATTTCATTTTTTTCAAAGTGTATTACCTTATTAGGTTAGAATTTTCTTTTTCTATTACAAATAAATTGTTCAACTTTATTAGGTTTTAAAAACTGCAAGCTACTTTTCCTTAATTATTTCAAAAGAAACACATTTTGCAAAGTAGATGCATGCTGCAAAATAGACACGTGTTACAAAAAAAACACGTGTTGCAAAAAAACATTCTTTAAAAAGTTCAACCTACCTGGAGTACCATCCATTTGGAATAAACCTAACCATAATATTTTTTTGAACTTGAAAAAATACTCATGCGTAAAAAATTGCGTTAATTATATCTAGAGCAATCAAATAATACTTTAAAATATAATCTATATATATAGTTTGCTTTTTTATTCATTTTTTAGTTTTTTTTTGTTGAGTTGTTATAAAAAAATACCATTTTGCTTAATTTTCATATTATTTTAGCTTCCCTTATATCTAATACTTATAAACCAAAATAATGGAAGTTATGATTTTTACTAAAAGTGGTGCCAAATAATTTAAAAGGCAAATAAAAAAAAAAAAAAAAAAATTGCACTACCCCAATTGAAGTAAACAAACTCAAAACGCATATATTCTAAGAGAACTTATATAGCAGTTTTTGTAGCAGATGGCCTATCTTACTTAGCTAAAAAAATTCTTGTGACTAAAAAAAAATTTATAAATATATTCTTCCGATAACTTTGTTTATAACTTCTTATTGATGGAACATTAAAGATTCAAACAGTTTTTTAAAATTTCGATATCTAACAAATCAGTTGGTCACGATTTTATTAATAAAAACGTGGTCGTTAACTCTTACGACCTCTTAATCGATGTATTATTCAAAGTTTTACATTGTTTATTGAACAATAAATTTTTTTTTTATTGTTCAATAAACAAAGGTCATCTATAATCACAGCAAATTTTAAAGTAGACGATGCAACCAATGGTACAAATTATCGCCTAATCTTTGTTTTAACAGTTGTTTTTTTAAGTTTAATGACAATTTTAAATAAGGTAGTTTATAGTCACTTTTCTTCAAAGCATTTTTCTAAAAAGCGCTAAGTCACATTTTTATTTTGAGAAAAAAAAAAAAAAACTAATTATCCAGCGAAATATGTTTTGAATATCAATATTTTTGTAACTAGAAAAAAAGATGGTAAACAATTTTTTTATTTATATTATAATAGATAGATTTTTACCGCTTCAATAAATATCGAAACTTAATTAAGATCTCATTTTCTGAAAAAAAAAGACTTAAAAAAAGCGTTCGTATATCCTTCATAGTGAGCATGCGTTGTCCGCAGGACGTCTGTTGGACATCTTACGTACCCCAGACAACGCATGCCTACAAGGATAAGTCACAGACACCGAAAAAAAAACCCTACAGAATATTAAATACCCCTCTTTACTTGGAGTATTGTATAATGTTTTGAAAAGTTAAGGTGGCTCACCCCCTTTCAAAATCAAACACAAAAATTTTTGTTTTAAATTACGTTTTTTTAAACATTGAAGTACGAAATCCATAATATATTTTTACTATGATGTGCTTAAAGCACATAGTAACAAAAAATACAATTATTGTGGTCAATGCATTTTCCTACGCTTTAACAACGCTATAGCAACGGTGCAAATTACTAATTTGTTCATTTTACTTCTTGAAGATTTCTATTTGAAACTTTGAAGTATTTTTTCGTTTTAGATCTACTATGCTTTTCTACTGTTCTGCAAAGTATTATATTTCTAAAAAATGTGCTTCGTTTTATTATCTCAGTAATAAAATACAGTCTGGCCAGTTTAAGAGCGCCTTTGCTTATCTTATTTAAAGCGTTTTTTTTAAAGCCAGTCTACCAATGAGTGAACAATTTTTGTAAACAAAGGCGCAATAAGAAGAAAATTTACAAGTAGAATGTTAATTTACCCTTGATTTTTGCAATTTTTTTATCTTAGTTGTTACATATTTAGCTCTGAAACTTCTCAAAAAAGTATAAATATTTTTTTATTTCAGATATCCACTTTTGATGATGTTTTTAACAAAAAATCGAGAAGAAAAGTTTTACAAATTATAACTAAATATATATTTTTAGTTATAATATATTATAACTATAGATATACTATGATAAAATAGTTTTACATATTATTATGTCATATAGTAGCAAATAAAAACCTAAGGTTCCAATTCAAAAAAAAAATTATCTTTTGTTTGCGAAAGGCTAGCATGTTAATTGTCAATCCAAATAAATTTTTTTTTGGATTGACAGTTTCATTACCTTCAAAAAATTTTTTATTTACTAGAGCTTGTAAGAGCTTTTTATTGCAGAAATTCTTTTTTATGCAGGATATAGTATTTTCTCATATTCCTAAAGCTCAACTCAAAGAAATCAACTTTTTCTTCTAAAGCAGATGAAAGTTAATACTTAAATATTTTTTTTTTTAATTAAAAAAGATCAATGTTTAATACAATTATAATAATATTTCATTTTATTTCTGTAATCAATTTGCAATTCTGTCATCAATTAGCAGCTTATTTTTACATGAATTTTTTTGGTTGATTTTCTGAATGCTAATTCTGCTATTATAAATAGTAAAAAAAACATCTGATATATTTGTTTAAAGACCACCTCGATTTTTTAAGTAATCATATTTTTTATTAGTACCGCATTTACACTCTTCAAAAAATATTTGATTTTTTCTACATTTTTCAGCGAACAAAATTAAGAGTGTTTTTTGATTAAAGTTTACTTAAACAACTTTTTGAATAAGGTTTTATTCGATAAAAAGTACTAATTACGTATCCACCAAAATATTCAACTTAGTTTTTTTCTAGTACTGTTTTCTTAATATGATTAGCAAAGTTATATCCTACAAGTGGTGAGAAAAGTCTTTTCTGACCTGCAACTTTATAAAATTTTTGATTAAAAAAACTTCAACGTCACTGTAAATAAATTTATAACTTCATTTTAATTCGAATGATAGCTTCGTATAATCTTTTAAGAATATTTAATTTGAAAACTCATTTTTGATACATAGAGGGCAAAAAAAAAATGTTTATATCAATAAGAATGTTTTTTTTTAAATAAAAATCATGAACATATCTGTAAAACACGTTTGCTTAACATCAGTTTATGCATTTTTTTGTTGTGTTAAAGAAACACTGTTTGAATGCTGCGTTGTTGTGTAGCATTTGGATTTATGCTCCGACTTATATTTTATCATACACTGGTGAAATTAAATTTGGCTGAAGCGTTTCTGTTCCCAACAATAATAAAAAAAACCCTGAAATTATTAATAAACCTACTGTTTTTAAAAAAAAATCTGAGTCTAGATCTAATATAAAATAATCAATGAACTATTTATCTGTTAAGCTCACCATTATTCAGATTATTGTGCGCTTACTCGTAGTCTGGACACAATAAATATCAACATAAATTTAAATTTTTTAACTTTTATTGTTTATAGACAATAAAAAATCTTGCGAAAACAACCCAACTGGCCATTTGTTATTTTGACTATGATTATTTTAATATAATTTAACTGAAAACTGTCTATGTGAATTTAACTAAAAATCACCTGAATATGGCAAATCTAAATATGAAGTTAATAGAAATTTTCAAGAGCAAATTTCAAGGCAGTAGGTATTCAAGATAAGCAGAGGAAGTAAATAGTTGTTGCAGTAAATTAGAAACATTAAAGCGTATTAAACATGAATGTGCATTAAAACTTAAGAAAAGATATAACTGTAAACCTGCAACAAACTGTGATTCTGATGTTGACATTTTTTTTTTATTTGTACCTATAGAGTTATAAAAAATATATTTGGACAGTATTCTACATCCAATAAGTGTAATAACAAGCTAAGTGTTTTTCATAATGAATCTATACGTATAGGATTTTCTACTGGAAAAAATATGAAAAAATATATGAAAAATATTTACATGCTGTTATGGCATTAGAAAGCTACACACTTGCTAAGCTAATCATTTTGGCTCAGCAGGGTCAATAAAAGCTCAAGAAACATTTTAAACGTCCATAAAAAAGTATAATTTAAGATATAATAAACACCTTGTAGATAATGACTCATAATGATATTAAAAGTAAACCACACAGTGTTATAAAGCTAGAATGTATTAGACATTATTAGAAAAGAATATGGAATGACGCAAAACTGCAACGAGTCCTAAAAATTTGATATGGCAGCAATGCCCTAAGGCTACTTATACTGAAAAAAAAAAATTCTTGAAATATTTATTTATTTTTCTATTTTAAACTAAAGGATTTTCTTGTATAAGTTGTACTTTTTAAATGCTTGGGTTTCCTGGAGGTTTTTATTTAAAAAAAGAGCTTTTAAAAAGATAAAAAGCGATTATCAAATATGTCAAGTAAATCGAATGATATTGAAAAAAAAAAAGAGAAAACGTATAAAATCGATAAAAAAGGTAATTTAGACATTGAAAAGGAGAATGATAAAGTGAAATCTTATGCTAGTTGCAGTTTTTAGTAACTTTTTATAAAATAACTCTTCTTTTTTATGTTTATTATAAAATGTATTTTTTAAGACTAATTCTAATATATTTAAAAAAAAAAACGTTAATATCT